CATTCCTTGAGGAAAAGACAGTCTGGGAAAACTGGGTATCCACATGCGAAAAAATGAAGTTGGACCCTTACCTAAAATAATAAAATTCTTAGAAGAAAACATAGGACAAAAGCTTCATGAAATTGGATTTGTCAATTATTTCTTAGATATGACACCAAAGGCATAGGTTTAAAAAAAAAGATTAGTTGGATTTCATGAAAATGTTAAAATCTTGGATATCAAAAAACACTATCCCTATTGAAATAATGCAATATTTTTTAAATCATACATTAGTATAATATCCATTCAAATGCACAAGAAAGCCTACGAATTTTAAGGTAACAGAATAGAAAATATTCAATGATATTGTTTCAGGTTCTGTTTTACAAATAACCTTTAAGAAACTACCACTTGTGCAGTTTTAATTTAGTATCAAAGATGAATATCTATAATTATCTGAAAATATCATTAAAATACTACTTCTAAATATATACCCTATCCATGGAGTAAAAAAGCAACCCATACAATGTAAGAAAATATTTGTGAATCACATATCTGATAAGTAATTAATATCCAGAATATATACAAAACTTCTAAACTCAACAACAACAAAAACAACCTGATTCAAAATGAGCAGAGGATGTTAGTAGACATTTCTCCAAAGAAGATACATGAATGGCCAGCCAATAAGCACATAAAAAGATGCTTAAATTACTATTCACTGGAAAAATGCAAATCAAAACTACAATGAGATGTGACTCATACCCATTAAGATGGATACTATTTTTAAAAAGCAGAAAATAACAAGTGTTGGCAAGGATGTGGAGAAATCAGAATCCTTGTGCAATGCTGGTGGGAACATAAAATGGTGCAACTGACAATGAAAAGAAGTATGGCAGTTCCTCAAAATATTAAAAACAGAATGAACAAACTCGATTACTTTCTTTTCTCCCCTAATCCCCTGTCCCTATCCTAGCCCATACTTCTTACTGTCAAGGTCTAGCTTTTCCCACTCTTCCCCACTTCTTATGAAATGAAATTGATCCATTGCAGGATCTTTCATATGTCTTAAAATTTTTTTAAAAAACAATGGAAATAGCCCTGGCTGGTTTGAGCATCGGCCTGCAATCCAGAGAGACCCAGGTTCGGTTCCCGCTAAGGGCATGTACCTCGGTTGCAGTTTGTCCCTGGCCCTGGTTGGGTCGTGCGGGTGGCAACCACTCGATGTGTCCCTTTCATGTCGATGTCTCTCTCTCTCTCTCTCTTCCTCTCTCTCCCTTCCACTCTATCTGAACAAAAAATGAAAAAAAAGTCCTCAAGTGAGGATTAAATAAATAAATAAAAACAATGGAAATAATTATATCTGTCTTTGGACACATGTATGAGAAAATATACATGTTTGTGCTTATGCAGTATTTTTTTTACATGTAAAGCCACAAGCAATGACATAAAACAAGTTTTTATAATCTCTAGTCAGTAGGGAATAGGAGAAAGCATTAATTGGTGTATTATTTAGTAACGCCTATTACTTTTTTATAATCATAGTATATATCTATACTCGCAAGAGTGAATATGTATGTGTATATGTGTGTGTGTGTGTGCATGTATGTCAACACATTATCTCTTGAAAGGGACTGGTAATATACTTTGTTAAGATGGGTGAGGAGCCCTGGCCGGTTTGGGTCAGTGGTTAGAGTGTCAGCCCCCGGACCAATGAGTCACGGGTTAGCCAAGGGCACGTACCTTGGTTGCGGTTTGTTCCGGCCCTGGTCGGGTTGTGCAAGAGGCAACCAGTAGATGCGGCTCTATCACACTGATGTTTCTCTCTGTCTCTCTTTCCCTCCCTCCCACTCTATCTGATAAGCAGAAAAGTATCCTTGGGTGAGGAATAAAAAAAAAAAAAAAAAAGATAGGTGGGGAGTACAGTTGAACAAATAATAAAATTAATACCCAATGTTTTCTCCACCCACCAATACATTTCAAGTCCCCTTAGGTCCCTCTCCATTGACATCTCTCTTCTTTCTCATTTCTTAGAAATGACAGTTGTAAAATTTGATTTACAAAAAGCATGTTTGTTTAATCCAAATTAAAAATACTACAAATTATAAACCAGCAAGAAATTTAAAAGGAAGAATTCATAATAGAGATAAGGTCATAGAAAGTAAACATTTCAAAGTAAAATATGTATTATGAAAATTCATAAAAAGCACATATGAATATACACCTGTTACACACATTAAACTATACAGACACCCCAACTGGATTCCTCTCTCTCTTAACCCCCATTATTGGTAGGGTTTGAACCTGTCACACTATTTCAAGCCTCTACATATGGCACATGCTCTTCCAGGGACATAGGTATTCCAGAACAGTAGACAAGCCGCAGACAAATGCTACTCGGTATCACCCAGGGAATGACTTGTCTTTCTCAACCTCTCTTGATGTGGGCTTGCTGATGATGTCTAGTTCAAGATCCAAGATAATATACAGAAAGTTAGTAAACTTCTTTTAAATAGACACACAAAGCCAGACCAGTGTGGCTCAGTGGACTGAGTGATGTCCCATGGGCTGAGAGGTCCAGGTTTGAATCCTGATCAGGGCACATGGCTGGGTTGCCGGCTTGATCCCCAGTAGGAGGCATGCAGGAGGCAGCCAATCCATGTTGATGTCTCTCTCATGGATGTTTCTATCTTTCTCTCCCTTATCACTTCCCTTCTCTCCAAAAAAAAATCAAGGCAAAAAAAAGAGACACACCAAAACTGTTAATGGGTGTTGTTCCGCAATAAAAAGACAATGGTTAAGACAAGAATTGGGTTTTTTTTTTTCTTGCCTCTGACAGAACCCTTCCTGTGTAGTATCACAAACAGCTATAGGAAACACAGTGGCAAAAGAAATGCCCCAACACAGAAAATGTCCCAGCTGCTCCTGCTCTGGTTGTTGCCTTACTTCCACTAAATTCTAGCAGCTGTGCAACAGAACTTTCTGTGATGATAAAAAAAAATATTCCATATTCTGTCACATGTGGTTATTGAGCACGTGAAATGTAGCTAATGTGACTCAGGATTTGGATTTTTAACTTTAATTAACTTAAAATTTTAAAATCACGTATGACCAGAGGCTATAGTCTTGGACAACATAATTCTAGGGCCTAAAGAAAAAAAACTAGGAGCCCTGGCCGGTTTGGCTCAGCGGTTGGAGCGTGGGCCGGCGGACCAGAGTACCAAAAAAAAAAAAAAATCAGGAACATAAAGGATATATGTTTGCATGTGATATATGTTTGCATGTTGGGAGTTTTATGACATAGAAGTGGCATTTGAAACCATTCAATTCATGAAATAAGTCACTTAAGTGTGTACAAAAGAATACAGGCACTCAGTGTTGAGAGGTCAGAAGTAAAAAAGAACTTGCAAGGAACACTGAGAGGGGGCAAGCAGTGACATAAAAGGAAAACCAGAAAAGTATGTTGTCTGAAAGTGATTCACAGAGGAGAGTCATTCTGCTATAAATACTATTGAAAGATCAAGCTGAAAAGTAAGGTATTCTATTTCTTTCTCACAGTTGTAAACCCTCCAAAACCGAAGAGCAAAGAACTGAAAGATACCACTTGGCGTTCATTTACCAATCACAAAGGAAAACCAGAAGATATACCAAAGTTATCTAGTATAAATATTTCATTCATATTCATGACATATATGCTATTCCAGAAGGGCATATCTTCCTTTTAATATCCACATGAAACAGGGTTTCCGAGAGCACAACAATTCTCCTGGGCAGCATTAATTATAAACGAAAACCACTCAAGTTGTTTTACCAGCTGAGGCTGCTTGAAACAATCAGTGTCTCCCATTCAGCTGCCACGCTTTCCTTGGAAACGCAGGTGTGGCATCATTTAAAGGTAAAAATGGTTTTAAAAACACAGTGTTTCCAAAAGAGAATGGGCAAAATTGTCAACATTCACAAAGGACTCAGAGAAAAAGTCAGACCCACGGACCGTGAGCTTCAGGAACCGAGGGGCTCACCTCCCACGAAGAAGGAGCTCAATATTTTCCTTTTACCTTTAAAAGAGCTGCATCTTACAGCGGGTAGGAGACCCTCCAGAACACTGTGGCCCCAACACTGCGCCGGGAAGGGACCGGCGAGCTCCCGGCACCCGCCCAGTATACCAGCACCCGGGTGGATAAGGCAGCGCTGGACGGCTCACAATTACATCCCGGACCCTAAAGTTTAAAAGAAAACCCCTTGCCCTCCGGCGTGGGCTCACCTGCCTCCTCAGTGGGGAAGACGCGGGGCCCCGGCCGCCTCAGACGGGGCGTCCCGCAAACCCTTCACTTTGTCACGGGACACAACCAGAGGTGGAAGGCCGCCTGGCCGGGGAAGGAGGACTCGGAGGGCGCGGAGCCCCTCGCTCGGTCGTTTCAGTCTCCCAGCAGCTGCAGCCACTGATTCCTCAGGTTCCACCCCAAGCGGCCCGTGGGTGCGCTTGCTCAACCGCCTCGTCGCTTAGCAACACGAGAAGCCGTCCAGTCTTCCGGACACGTCAATTCCTCCCGCCCTTCCAGAACGTGGACAGCTTTTTAAACGATTTTGTTTCCGGGTCGAGCGGGCTGTACGCAGCGGAAGGTCTCTTTACCTCCCACGTTTACCCTTGGAGGAGGATAAAGGCTCAGTTGCGCACGTGTGAATGATGTAGCTAAGGGGTCTGACGCTACTCTCCGGATTTACACACACCTCCCCTCCCGCCAATTGCTGAGCGCCATCAAGAAGTCCTCCCTCCTGAGCTCAAATCCTCCGCTTATCGCCGTTCTCCAATCACAGCGGCTCGCCCTCGGGGACTACTTTTCAATCGGCGAGGAGCGCAGAGGGGTGGGCGGGAGGACTCTTGGACCTCGGGAAGTGTAGTTCATCACTTGAAGAAATAGCGTGGGAGGTCGCGCCGGAATCCGGGTAGCATAAACTCCAGCTCCCAGAGGGCGCCGCGGTCGGGAGCCGAGCTTTTTATCTCCAACAGCGCACGCTCTGCCGACTCGGTCTCGCGGTAGAGGTGACCCGATCCCTGGATCCTCGTTTTGCAGGTGCTGAAATTGTCGGCGCAATTCCCAATCATGGTGAGTGTGGGCCCCTAGATTCTGCTTTCATTTCCTTATGTGGGGTTTCTTGAGCTTGAAGGACTTTTTTAGGGACGGCTGTACAAGGCACTGTCCCTCACGCCCTTTGGAAAGCCCTGACTCATCTGGGGACTGTCGCAGTGACCCAGTAATTGGGGAGGGGTTGATTTCCACCTGGGGAGGGGGTTCTTGGCAACATGCGATCTCGGTTCTGCTGTATGGCGGGGCTACAAAAATATGAAGCTGTGGGCTTTCTCCAAAGAATGATATGGGGTTTGATGTTGGGGGGGGGGTCCTAACCTTTTTTCCTCGTCTTACGCCCGCAGTGTGTTTAAGGGCATTTGTCTCAAAGCCCTTGAAAGCAGAAGGCCCCCTCGACTGTAAAGATAGTGTTTACCAGGTGCTCCAGATTACGTGCTACGTTTTCGGGAGACATGTTTCAGCCTTATCTAAATTAATGTCATTTAAAACCTGCTCATTGATCTTTTGCAATATTGGGACGTGCTGCAGTTACTACTACATCAGTCGCCAAATAACAGTAGCCAAATAACTAGTGCAGATGTTCTTTACTGATCTCTATGTTTTGAAATCTAGAGCTACTACATGTTACACAATGTAACCATCTTATGAAGAACTGGATACGTAACTGCACCTTGTCTCTGCTGAAAGGAGAAGGGGGGATGGTGAGGGAACTCTGACGTAGTAATAATGATCTGTCCTCAGTTTGAAGGTGACATTTGACGTCAGACTGAGAAATTGCTTCGGTACTTGTATTTATAGTTGAGACTATTTTTCCTCCCTTATCTCAAAATACTGAAATGGGTGGGGAGTGTGGAAAAATATTTGAATGAACTGGAACCTGAAAAAAGGCAAGGGAATTACTCCATCTACCTTTATAAGGGGCCCACTGGGGACAGCCACTAATTCTCAGTTAAACCTACATTTCTTATTTCATCAAATAACATAATTGATCATTTAAATGATGGTTTCAGTGGTTCCTGACCTAATCTTGGCAAGAAAACAGAGATATTTATTATCAGAATTGCAGACTTAATCATCTTAAAATTGATGGGATATTTTAAAGATCATTTTGACAAATCTCCCCACTTCAGGTCTTAAAATTGAGTTTATTGAAACCCAAATAAAATGTGATTTGCTCAAGGTCACAAAACAGTTTGCCCTCAAGGGTCTCACACTCTTTCCATTTTACCATATTGTGTCAGACAAACACCTACCAAGTCATTCTGAACATTTATTTTTAGTAGCTGAGGTTCTGGATGAAGTTGCAGGTTCATACAGCAAATATAAACCGAAGTTAGGTTATCAGCATTTATTTTACCTGATAGTTTATTTCTTTCAATTCAAAATATTGGAATTCTAGAATTGGAAGGAAGATTATTTCTCTAACCTTAAAATGTAGCCTGGTGAGGTCAAATGATTTTCCCAAGGTCACAAAGAGATCCTGGGCCCCCATTCTTGAGTTGAATTGCTGTGCAGTAGATCAGGCCAGCCCACCTCTGGAAGGTCACTCAGCACCAGATAGCACAGAGACCTTTATGAGAACCAATCCTCCTGTCCCGTTTTCTGAAACTGACAGCAAATTCTCACATGACTCAGAATCTCCTTGCCTCCTCAGGAGAGTATATAAACAATCACTGAGTTAGAAAACAGCCATCTTCTATGAGCTATTCAAAGCAGTTTTTTTTTAAAGGAGAGACTTCTTTGCGTCCCTCTGTAGGGAGTGACAGCAAGAATAAGTCATATGAAGGAATCTGAATGATACTGTTTGTCTTTTATATTACCGAAATATATGTACATTAGAAAGCAAAATAAATAAATAAAGGAATACTGGGTCTTTCTGTAGAATAACAGAAGGAACACTTAAATGCAAAGTGTTACAACTGAGACTTGAGCACATGTGCAGACAGAGCCTGCATGGTAGGAAGGTCATTAGTGCCCTGCCAAGAGCAAAGACATTTCTTCTTTAGATCTTGGCAGACTGCCCAGATATCTAAGCAAAGAATAGTAACCTGTCTTCACACAGTAACTTTGTGGTAACTTTGTGAAAAGTCAGCAGGAATTTCCCACCCTCCTGCTTTTCAACTGCAATGTTTCAAAGAGCAGAAAGAACCAAATACACAGTTTGTTCTTTCTCTTTTCATCATCAAACATTCAGGCACTAACTAGGCTTCATGGTATTCTTAACAAGATGGAATTACCTACCTGTGAAAATGATTTGCTCAAAGATACAGAAGAAGGAAACTGCTGAGGTAGAATTAGTAGCTTTTCATTAGTTGGCCACAGACCCTTCACTAAGGTCTATGATACTGTTAACACATTTTTAGTAGCTAAAATTAATGCCTGAAATTGACTGCATTTGTTGTAACTATCTGCCTGCCTTTCTGGGAGGTTAAGCTTTATAGATAATAATATTAACTTTCCCCCTCATTTCTTACCCCAGCTTGCTTTACCTAGAAGTAGCATGTATTTATAGTTTTTTCATCTTTATTTTCATTTAGTCAACAAATATTTGTTGAAAACTATATGGACTGAAAATTTGAGTCAGAGGTGTACTGTTTTCAGTTCACAGTTGGAACTGGTGTGGGGGAGGGGGATCACAGTCTACTAGAAAGTAACAGATGTAAATAGAAGACCACAGGCTACAATAATCCTTAGAGGAAAACTCTTTGGTGACAGATCTATAATTATAGTATTTGCTACATATTGTTTAGTGCTTTGTATGTTAACTCTCTCCATCCTTACAACTACCTTATTTGTTAAGTAGCTGCTGCTCTTATCTCCATTTTACTGTGGGGAAACTGAATACAGCTCTAAAGGTTAAGTAACTTGCCCAAGAACATACAGTATGCCTAATGAGTTGTGGAGTCAGAATTTGAATCCAGAAGTCTGGCTCTAGAAACCATCTCTTTACTACAATCAACTACCTCTCTAGCCCTCTGGTGTCAAATAGTGTCAGGTACATCAGAGAGATTCAGTGGTATATTGCTTAATAAATGAAGTGATGTAACAGTTCACCAATTGATTTATAACACTATATCATTAGAACTAGTGACATAAAATAATTTTGTTAACTATACCAAGAACTATGGTAGTCAGTAAGTTCACAACTTTCTCAATACTTTATTCAAAGCATATATTAATAAAACATCTTAAATACTTTTTTGAAGTATGTTAGGTTGGCTTCCAAACAATTATTTTATATTTCTAAGTTTTTGGTAGTAATTTTACAAGATCCAGCTATTCCTTCAATAATTATTTGAGTTCCAACTGTGTGCAGGGAATTGTGCTAGGCAGTTGGGATACAACAATAAATAAAATAGACAAAGCTCCTGCCATTAAGAAGTGTGCATTCTAAAGAGGGAGGAGGAGTAATTTCTTCCTTTATTCCCTTTTTCTCACCTACTCCAAGGGAGGAGGGGGAAATGACAAAGTTAAAAACATGTACCCCTAGCCAGTTTGGCTCAGCAGTTAGAGCATTGGCCTGTGGTCCAGAGAGACTCAGGTTCAGTTCCCACTAAGGGCACGTACCTCAGTTGCAGTTTGTCCCTGGCTCCTGTTGGGGTCGTGTGTGGGGCAGCCAGTGATGTCTCTCTCTTGCATGGATGCCCCCCGCCCCCAGCTCTATCTAAAAGATGAATGTAAAAATGTCCTCGGGTGAGGATTTAAAAAAAACAAACATGTAAAACCCATATGATAGAAATATACAGTAACTTATAATGTTCTTTATAAACCTAAAGTCTGTTTGGGAACATAAATATTATATTAAAATTGGCTTATTTGGGGAACTGTTATATTGTATATTTAGAGGTGTGGATAGGAAAGAGGCTCAGGAAGTCAGGAGAAACTCCATAGTTTTGACCTTTTTTTTTTCCATTCCCACCCTGGTCACATCTTTGAGGAAGAAATTGCACACATAGTCTGCTGTGATCAGATTCATTTCTCTACAACTTGGCACTTATTTCCTGACCTTTAGAGGTTAGGGTTGGGAGGTAGAAGCATCCTTCAGGGTGGTAGTCTCCTTCCACCCCAGAGGCATGTTACCTCTGGAAGAGGGAATTCTAAATATAACAAAATCAAATGCTTCTATCCCAGTCAATTCAGTAGGCCACTTCTTTTATGCAGGTAGTGATATAAGTGACACAGAGTGGACATCCATTTACCCAACATTGTCAAAGGACTAGTTCACCTTGATTGAATTTTCCATGTAATTAAACTTAACCCATTAAATTTCCAAACATTTTTGTTTAGCTCTTTTTAATAGAACTATTTCTCTTTTTACTTCTCTGAGCTTAATTTATTTTCATGACTCAGGGTCATCACTTTGAATATTAGTTATTTTTGTACATATGTCCCTATTTTGTTCAGGGTCTGCTGAGATCTGCAAGGCAACTTCTCTCTATTGTAACTGGTATTCTCTTTGTACTTATCTCCCTTCCTCCTTTTTAAAATTTCCCCTTGGAATCAGGTTGTCAACTGTCATTACATGTTGCTGTTGTTATTTAATATTAAAATTTATTATAATCCAGATGTTATCATTTTTCTCAAAAAAATAAAGGCTTAGTTTTCCTCCTCCTTCAAGTAGTTAAATTGAATCATGATTAATAGTTGTATTAAAACTTTAAGGCTGCTCTGGCCGGTTTGGCTTAGCAGTTAGAGCGTGGGCCTATGGACTGAAGAGTCTCGGGTTCGATCACCAGCTCAGTCGGGTTCGTGCAGGAAGCAATCAACCAATGTGTGTGTGTCTCTCTCTCTCATGTGGATGTGCTTCTCTCTCTCCCCCTCCCTCCCTCCCTTCCACTCTATCTGAAAAAAATCGTGGAGGGATATCCTTGGGTAAAGGTTAAAAAACAACTTTTAGGCTGATTGTCAATGAAAAATTTTAACCACTGTCACTCCTTTTCCTGATATAAAAGATTCTCTTGAGCAGATGGGACTGGGGGTGGGATTTACATAAGAGGATTTGTAAGATTCTAGTGGCCTCCAGGGTTTGTATCACTATGTAAGTCACATCAACATTATTAGGCCTGTTTTAGTGGTAAAATAGCCTTTAAAAAAGAAATGAGATTATGGAAGTAAATCCAGTATAACAGTAAGAGTTAAATAATACCACATAAATATGCAGCCAAAGGACACATGTTCCAGAAGTTGCTTAGTTAATTTATGCATACTGTATTTACTGGGATAAGTCTCCTAAGCCATACAAAAAGAAACTTTAAAATTTTACATTGACTTTTAAAGTATGTTGTCTTACTATAGAGAAACTCCTGAATATCTTTAGGGTAAAATAGTACTTTTAATAAGATGTTAATGGGTCTCTTTCATTACAGCCTGAACCAGTCAGAGTCCTTGTGACTGGAGCAGCTGGTCAAATTGCATATTCATTGCTGTACAGTATTGGAAATGGATCTGTCTTCGGTAAAGACCAGGTAGGGACAACTGTCTATAAATCTTAAAGTAAGAATATTGTCAATAAAGCCCTGTATTTAGTTGCAAAGAAACTTTTAAATGGTGAAGGAATGGGTAATCCCAATAAATGTCCTAGGCACACAGGCATTAAAAATGCTTTGCAAATCATGTATTCAGTTGATTTGGTGCAGCCAGCAGGTGTCAGTCAGTGTTAATGACAGTAACTGTTAGGGAGAGTAAGGTAGGGAGGAAAGTTGCTGAATCAGCACTTTCTTGTTTGACATGTCTTTAGACCCAAAGTAGAGAGGTAAATCTACTTCCCAGTTTGAAGCAGATACCATCTCTTCCAGCAGGTCCGATTAATGTATAATAAAAACCTTTTCTAAAGTATTCATTTATCCATTCTTTTCATCCATGAATATCAAATTCTTCCTTTATGCCAAACTGTGCTTAGTTGTTCATGAACTTAAATCAGATATACGGATACAGGTGCCATGTAACTTCAATTTGATATTTCTTCCATGTACTTCAAAGTTCAGGAATAGTGATTCATCGTACTATGTCTTTTAGCAACCATCACTGGTTTTAAAGCAATCCTTTTTCTAAAAGTGGAATCATGTTAGATACTTGACTGAAAATAATTGACTAATTAATGGGATTATATGCATGTCCACACCAAATAAGCAAAAACTTTTTCAAAGGACTTTTTTTGTATGTGACTAAATGACATAACCTGCACTAACAGATGCTGAACTTGCTATTTATTTGGCAGCCTATAATTCTTGTGCTGTTGGATATCACTCCCATGATGGGTGTCCTGGACGGGGTCCTAATGGAACTGCAAGACTGCGCCCTTCCCCTTCTGAAAGGTAAGTTAGAAAGTGAAGGAGAAAATAATTTTTATAGTATTTTATGTCTTTCAAAAAATAGATTCACGAGGGCAGGATGGGGATGAAGGGGTCTGGGGGAAAAAAGGAGAAACATCTGTAACAAAAATAAATTAATAAAAGTTGGAGGAAAAATAAAAATGGATTCACTTCTCTTCCTCCTCTGTCTTTCCTCCCCCTTCTTCTTCACTACAATCATTAATTTTATAGAAAAATAATAATACTAACAGAATCTCCTTTTTTTTTTTTTAGCAGTGACTATGTACTCAGTAAAGAGCAAATATGCTATAGTGATCTAGCATAGTAGTAATCATCATGGGTCCTAAAGCCAGTTTGCCCTAGCAAAATCTTGGATACTTTGATTGGAAAAAATAAATTTCAGATTTTTGCTAACCTGTCAGTTAGAAATTATTTCATAACGTAGTTTCTTTTTGTTTCTTGAACTACAACTATTTGGTAGATTTATACCAAAAATAAATAAGGGTAATTATATACCAAGAATAAATAAGGGTAAAAGCGAGAAATAAACAGTGTAAGGTAAGAAAACTGGACTTTCACACAATATGCTTATATATAATTTATTTTACTAATTAAATACAGTATTGCACAAGGGTTGTACACCTGAGATTGTCTATACTGTGTTGTTATTTAAAGTCTATTTAAATAGTAATAGTAGTGTCCTGTAATGGAAAACTTTTTAAACTCCAAATGACGTCTTCCAGAGCCATATGCTGCCCTGGGGCTGGAAATGGATTGGTCCTTCATACATAGATAGTCCCATCCCATCTGCCCATCATCCAGTTGAGATATAATATAAATCGTCCTAATCATATGCAGCATAGTTTGAAAAAGCCCACCAGAGTTCTGATACGAGTTTTGAGAATCATTGAACTATTACATAACTATAAGACGGAAATCTTAAATTTGATTGAAAAGTTTATTACAATATTAGGTCAAGCCATAAACTAATTTGAATATTTTCTTTAGCTCTACTTGTATCATGATGTTTTTCTTTTGATGAGGATTTAATTAATAATGTTTCCCTAGAAGTTTACACAAAGCAAAATACAAACTCAAGAGAGTTTGTATATTTCATGTATATTTCAGTAAACATTTACTAGAAGGGATACTGCCATCTAAATCATTAGTTATATGAGAAAGTATATTACCCTGTCCGAGCTATTCAGCTGGCTCTCTTTCTTCACCCATTTCCAAATCAACAACTTCTGTAGCTTTTTCCCATTTTTATTCCTCTCTCTGATGAGTTCTCTCTGCTCTCCCTAATGGGCCCAGGTTACAGTCAGCTTGTCCTTGGTCAGCTGTGAATATGACAGGGAAGGGAAGGTTCAACAAATAAGAATGTGTGACTGGAAAAATGATGGATTTGTTTTTTCTGCAACTGTTGTTCATACATATACCTATTTGGGGGCTTATAGCAGCCTGACTGATAAAAGTTCACTAATCTAAAAATTTATACTAAATCCTGGTTGTCTTAATCCACTTGGGCTGCTTTAACAAAAATATTATAGATTGAGTGGTTTATAAACAACAGAAACTTATTTCTGACAGTTCTGGAGGCTGGGAAGTCAGAGATCAAAGAGCCAACAGATTGGGTGTCTAGTGAGGGCACAATTTGTGGTTCATAGATGGCGATCCTCTCACCATGTCTTCACATGGTGAAAAGCATGAGGAAGCACTAAGGGCACTAATCCCATTCATGAGGGCTTCACCTTTGTGACCTAATCACCTCCCAAAGGCCTTACATCATAATACCATCAACATTGGGGATTAGTTTCAACATATGAATTTTGGGGGGACACAAACATTCAGTCTATAATACTGGTTATGACCTTTCTAATTACTTTTAATATATGTATTTTTTATTCCTCACCGGAGGATATTTTTCTACTTATTATCTGATAGAGTGGGAGAGAGGGAGAGGGAGAGAGACAGACAGAGAGAAGCATTGATGTGATAGAGCCACATTGACTGGTTGCCTCCCACACAACCCCACCAGGGCTGGGGACGAACCGCAACCGAGGTACATGCCCTTGACTGGAATCGAACCCACGACTCATTGGTCCTCAGGCCGACACTAACTGCTGAGCCAAACCAGCCAGGGCATTTTAATATTTAAAGTAATTTTAACTTAAAGGTTAAGAGAATTAATTTCTTTTTTGGGTTATCTTTGGTTATTTGCCTGAATAACAAATGTTGCCTTGAAAGTTATAGTATACCTTTGCATCATATATGATTATAAAAGATAAAAGGCATAGAAGTCTTGAAATTGAGATAATTATTAAAATAGGAAAAGCAAAATAAATATATTGACATTTCTGCTAATATTATTGTTGAATTTATAAATTGTCTTTCTTAAGTCCCTAAAACTCTTATCAATATGACATGTAAAGGTAAACATTTGCTACAAAGTGAAGGAGTTACTGGACAAATATATAAAAAAGAAGGCCTCAGACTTTGGTGTTTAAGTATCTCTGCATATTTATTGCCATGTTGTTCACAGATGTCATCGCAACAGATAAAGAAGAGGTTGCCTTCAAAGACCTAGATGTGGCTATTCTTGTGGGCTCCATGCCAAGAAGGGACGGCATGGAGAGGAAAGATTTACTCAAAGCAAATGTGAAAATCTTCAAGTCACAGGGTACAGCCTTGGAGAAATATGCCAAGAAGTCAGTTAAGGTGATCAATACAGAAGTATTTTGAGGGATGTTTCATTATCAGCATTTGAAACTTTCTGCTGTCAACGTTTAAGTTCAACAAAATTATTTGCTACTCCAACCCCCCCACCCCCCACTCTCAGTTCTGTGCAATAGTCAGTAGATACAGATACATAGTTTTGCTTGATAAGCTCTCCCTTTCTGGGTTTTCCTCTTGTGTAGAAATCTATATTCAGAGGTGCTCGAAAATATTTTGCCTATTACTGTTATGTGGAAGTTTAGTATTAATTTGTAAACCCACAAGGCACAGGACTTTCTGGTGCCTTTTAACTGTTCGTTCAGACATTTGGATTTGTGTGTGATTGTGGAGGGAGGTGGCTGTAAGCTGTGTTCTTAGCAATAGGAGCTAGTGGCTTCTGAATGCTCTTTTTTTTTTTTTTTTTTATCTTCACCTGAGGACATTTTTGCATTTATCTTCAGGTAGAGCAGGGGGGAGAGAGGGAGGAAGAGAGAGAGAGAAACATTGATGTGAGAGACACATCTAGTGGTTGCCACCCACACGGCCCCAGTTGGGGCCGAGGACAAACTGTAACCAAGGTACATGCCCTTAGCGGAAACCGAATCTGGGCGTCTCTGGTCTGCGGGCCGATGCTCTAACCACTGAGCAAAACCAGCCTGGGCTACATGTCTCTTAAGAAGTTTAGTCGGTATGACTTCCTGTTCTCTTTATGATCAAGCTATTTTAGTTCCTAAATTTGTCTTGATACTGCACTAAAGCTTCCTTTTACCAAGTAAATATCAGTGAACTAGAAACTAATTGTCACAGCAGAAGGCTTGCTGGTTAGAGGTTTTGTTCATTTTTTTATCCTTACTTCAAAGAAAGGTAAAAGAAATGTTATAAGATATTTAAAGTTGCCAGTTATAATATTCTATAGAATATTCATAGACATCTGAATGTTTTCTGTGTACTTCGTTTTAAATAATTAACTTTCTGCTAATGATTACAGAAAATAGTCGTTCGCAGAAAATAATAAAGTCGAGTAGAAATCCACAGGTCTCTTAGTAAAAAATTACAAGGTTATTTTTTTATTATTATTTGTTGTTTTTTAATTGAATTTATTGGGGTGACATTGGTTCATAAAATTACAAGGTTGTTTGGATTGCTAAAATTCAGGCTGCCTGGGAGTTGTACTGTTTGCACAGTAATCGCCCCTCAGCCAGATGTCCTTTTTGGAATACTTAGCAGCTTACTCTCAAGTGCGCCAAAAATAAAAGATTTAAGGGATGGGGTTGGGGGTAGAGTAGAGAGAGATGGAGCAAATCAGAGAATCTGGGTAAAGGGAATGTGTGAGTTAGTCTCTTTAATACACTTGCAGCTTTTCTGTAAGTTTGATATTATTTCAGTTTTTTAAAATTATCATTTCATTTAAAACTTAAAAGTCCATGTACACATTTTCTTATATTGTATTATAATCCAGTGTATCCCATATCTCTCCAATTAAAAAAAAAAAGGTAGCCTAAAATGCTTTATCCTAAAGACCGATTCAGTAGGAATATAGAATGGATAGGAGTTGGTAATCTGCATTTTGACAAATATCTTCGTTAATTCATAGGATTAGGAGAGACTGAGAAACAACTTTTCATTCGTAAAAACAAATCATTGTCCTAAAGTAAACTGCTTAAGTAGAATTTCTTTTTTTATAAGAAGGAAAATTTTATCAGTGAATCAAATTCTGAGATAGAGCCTTAGATTACTTGTTTTGTTGTGTGTGTGTGTGTGTGTGTCAAGTAGATAAATGCTGTCTCTATTTTGGCACAAAACAAAATAGACAGATATGTACCTTATGTCTTGGACAGTACTACCTGAAGAGTGACTTTTATATATATAATGGTGACTTTATTAAATGTGTTTGGTAGTCACAGCGAACCCTAACAAAGGGAAAAAACTTTTTAGAAGGAAGAATAGAAACGTACTAGAAACTACAATGATAACTACACATATAGCTGACACAAACTTGATGCAAAGGCTACATGTTACACATTTGTCAGTCATGCTAAGACAGTTTAGTTAAGCAGTATATTGTCTGTAACTGCTCTGGTGGGTTATCCTAGGTCATCGTGGTGGGAAACCCAGCCAATACCAACTGCCTGACTGCCTCTAAATCTGCACCGTCCATCCCCAAGGAGAACTTCAGTTGCTTGACTCGTTTGGATCACAACCGAGCTAAAGCTCAGGTAAGAAAAATGCCTTTTTAAAGTCTCATGAATGTTCTCTCACTTTAACGTTGCTGAATCTTAGTTTGTGCTTTTTTTAGTAGGAAGCTATTCCAATTTGTTAGGGAGTCTTTAAATCTGGTCTTATAAGGACCAGAGCTGAATTTCCTACTTAATTTTCTCAAATATATTTAATGTGCTACCTATAATTAAATGTGGTTGCTATTGTCCTCTTGTGACAGTGGTTAAAAAGTATTTACTAGTACAGATCATTCACATGATAGTACATAATTTAGTTTATTTTTATCAGATATAAAGATTATAAAATGAAAGACTTAAGCTTTACGTGTTTGTGTGGTTCAGCTTCCTTTTTCCCTACATATAAACAATCAAAATAAAAATTCAGATTTTTAATTGTTAATTTTATATTCTCCTTTTCAGTTTTACACCTTAATATTCTACATGTTCCCATAAAATTTCCTACTTTTCACTACTAAGCAGCTAAGTTTTAATTAGGGCAAGTTTTCTGCCTGGCCAGTGTGGCTCAGTGGATTGAGCATTGTTCTTTGGGCTGAGAGGTTCTGGTTCGATTCCCAGTCAGGGCACATGCCCTGGTTTGGGGCTTGATCCCCAGTGGGGGGTATGCAGAAGGTAGCTGATCAATGTTTCTCTCTCATGTCGATGTTTGTATCTCTCTCTCTCTCCCTCTTTATCTAAAAAAATCAGTAAAAACATATTTAATTATGGTCAAGTTTTCTTACCCATTGGAGCCTTATATTATGCCAAGGGTTCAGTGACCAGGGTGTTAACTATAGCTTTTTAAAAAATTAGAGGCTGTGGCCTTGGCCAGTTTGGCTCAGTGGTTAGAGCGTCAGCCTGCGTACCAGAGAGTCCTGGGTTTGGTTCCCCACTCATTTGCTGTTCGTCCCTGGCCCCGGTTGGCATTTTGCGGATGGTAAACATTTTATGTATCTCTCTCACATCGATGTTTCTCTCTCTCTCTTCCTCTCTCTTCCCTCCCGCTCTATCTGAAGATAAATGCAAAAATGTCCTCGGGTGAGGATTTAAAAAAAAAAAAATTTGAGGCCATGCCCTGGCCGATTTGGCTCAGCAGTAACAGCTTCAGCCGGTGGACCAATCAGTCTCAGGTTCAGTTTCGGCCAAGGACATGTACCTCAGTTGCAGTTTATCCCTGGCCATGGTTGGGGTCGTGCGGAAGGCAACCAGTTGATGTGTCCCCCTCACATCGGTGGTTCTCTCTCCCTTTCTTTTCCTTTCTCTCCCTCCCACTCTATCTGAAGATAAATAGAAAAATATCCTCTGTTAAGGATTAAAAAAAAAATAGAGGCTGTGACACTCATCTGTGCTAGTTTCCTGGGCTTTCTTAGATCTAGACGATCCTGATGCCCTTAGAAGTCATGACAGAGTTCTAGATTTGAGACATAACCTCTTTCCTTTTCCCCAGTGATTTTCTGGCCATCCCTTCTTAGCCACAGGTCACCACTGCCAGATAGGTCTATGAGTGTAGTCCTTTTTCTTCTAGAGAAGACAACTTTAATTTCAAGAAAACAGTTTTTACCAAAAGATGATGTGAGGTCTGCTGTATACTGAGAATTGATCATCTTTCAGCTTTGGAGTGCCCGGTAAAGGAGAAGATAATTTACATTTGTTAAGCTCCTACTCTAAGCTGAATGCTTTACATATAATTTACCATTTAATTTTTATAGTGACTGTATGAGATACTCATTATTATCACTATTTTACAGATAAGAAACCTGAAGGTCAGGGAACTGCTTAAAGTCATACAACTAGTAAATAATGGAGCCACTTAGATTTGCCTGAGTCCAAACCCTTCTGTGTATTCTTACATTATGGGATCAACTAAGTAGCTCTGTGATCTTGAGAAAGTATATTCAGGTTATAAAATGGGAGAATAATTGTATCTATCTCAAAGTGGGTAAATGAGATCTATATTACGCTTTTATCGTTGTGCCTGTCACATTGTAAAACTCATGAAGGTTGCCTGCTATTATTGATTTTAATTATTATTATTAAAAGGGATATATCCAAGAGTTGAGAAGAGCCGCACTTCAGAAATATCTCCCTGAATATTCCAGTTAATTTAGAAGGTCTTCAGATAACAAACTTAAATTGCAAATAATTCCTAAGAAGATTTAGGCTGTGGGCTGGGTCTTTTTTCTTATTATTTAGCCAGAGTCTGGTGGCTGGGAAGGAATGGGAGTTTGTTTGAATAACTGGAGGCAGGAGATTTGGGTACAATAGAAAATAGCACAGATAAGTGGCTGGCCTCTAATTTGGGTACTACAGAACAAGTACTATTTAACAGTTAAGGAAAAGATATTATAGGTGTTGAGTTGTAGATTCTGGATTGCCAGATGGTTACTTAATTTCATTACAAAAAGGAGAAAAAAGGTAAAATGAGAACACTAACAAACTTCCATCTTTGCTCTATCACCTGAGACCTTGGTGGAGGCAGGCATTGCAAAATTCTGCTTCTGGAGGCTCTACTAAGTAACACTTTGTTCCAGTGCCTGAAACCATTTTTCTTGTAGGGGTGAAAGTCTGAATGAGGAAAGAGAGAAGAAGCTTTCTCATCAAACTTTTAACTTTTGGCATAATATTCAGCATGCCAGTCTGACAGCGACAGCTTTGAAGAAGTTTTTGAAGAAGCAGTTTCTTTCTTAATCCAGTGAAAAAAATAACAAACCCAAAGATGAAATTTTCTTACGTAAATGGTTGCTAGTCTTACATAACTTGTTTTGGAATTCAGAGGACTTAGCTACCTAGCAGTTGTTTGTCACCTGCAGAACTCCCCTTTGTATTTGCAAACCAGAACTGCATATGGGTCTGCTGACCAGGCAGTTTGGCAATGAAACCAGTTAGCTGGTATCAGGCGAAAAAATTTGCTAGGGCTGAAGAATTAGTCAAAAACTATTTAATAGATCTATATGACAGGCATGAAAGTGTCTAAGGGAGCAAGAAACTAGTGTCCTGGATACATGTTAATTTAAACTAGCTCTGACATGAATGATATTCAGAAACTACATGTGGGTGCAAAGTACTGGCCTTTGCTGTCCAGACAGAAGTGGATTAGCTCAAGAGATCAAAAGAACCAGGAGGAGGTGGGCAGGCAACAGGACAAAGGAGCCTCCTCTAGGGAGGAGAGGCCTAGAGGCAGTATGTCTTTACTCTACTTCAGAGCAGTTGAAGCTGACATCTAGCAGAATGTTCCAAGTCCTTGGTAATATATATCTTAGGTTACTTGCCCAGGTTAAAATTTTCCTTTTTCTCTACAATGACAGCTAAATATAAATAAGGGCAATTCTTCCCAAGTCCTTTCAGGTCATGGCACACACTGAAAATGGTTCTAATTGCACAGCACACCACTCTACCCTAGCCACTAAGCAGGTCAGTAGCTGGGTACCCCAGAAACCAACAATCCATCTAATTCATGAAGACTGATAATGGTAGTTAATACTTGCAGAACTCTAGATGAAGCAGGGTTTAGATCAGCAGTGATTTAAAAAGTCAAAAACTAAAAATTTTAAGTTAATTTTTAAAATTAACTAACTATTAGGATTTAAGTAAACAGTCACCTCACCCTGTCCCCGTAGCTCAGTGTCAGAGCATAGTCCCTATACCATGTTAACATCTCAGGAAATTGTGAATATTTTTGTGGCGGGGGGGGGCTTTTGTTACTGGAGAAATGGATGATTGGCACAATTTAAAAACATGAAGAGACCATCAGGAATGTTAATATTGCTAAAACTGTGGAAGAAACAATGATCACAGGCAGTTGAAGAGATAGAAAACTTGTTGAGTTGGATAAACAAAGAGCAGTTAGCCAGTGACAGCCACAGCATTTCAGAGGCAGTGATTTGTGAAAAAATAAAGATGCCACATGCTGACTTCCTGAAAGTCATCCCTGGAACAAGTGCTTCAAGTGATTAGTTCAAGGCTAGTAGTGGGTAGTTTGATAAATTTAAGAAAAGAAGTGTTTGTTAATAGATTAAACAGTTACATTGGACATGTATTGTATATAAGAAAGGTTAAAACAGGGAGTCATTTGAGGGTCTGGAATGAATTCAATTTACATTATTTCTAATGGGGAAAAATCATTTTGTTTTTTAATAAATCACTTCTCGAACAGCCTTCCAGAACGAATTATGTTCGAGAACCAAGGTTCCACTGTAATGGCCTTTTTCATCTTTATTCTTTTTGTTTGGTTAGTTGTTTAGTGTTGTTTTACTTTTTATTTTGCAATAATTATAGACTCAGAAGAAGTTGCAAAAATAGTAAAGGACCCCGTGTACCCATTATGGGCTTTCCTTGGAGGTGGTGCCATCTCACATGACTCTCGAGTCGTCAAAAGTAGGAGAGACTAGAATGTGCACATCACTGCTAACTACAGTTACTCACATGTCTGCAATGTTTACACTTTTGTATGTCTTTATGAATGATTCTGTGGCATTTAATCATATATATAGATTACTAGAACCACCACAGTCAAAACACAGAATTGTCCCATCACCCACAAAAGATCTCCTAAAAAAAAATGACCTCTTTATGCTGCCTCATTATAGTTATACTGTTCCTCTCCTTTCCTAAACCCTGGCAACATTTATCTGTTCTTCATCCTATAACTTTGTCATTTTGAGAATGTTATAAAAATGGAATCACACAGCAAGTAATTGTTTGAGATTGTCTTTTATTTACTCACTTTAATATCCATCCACGTTGTGGTATGTTCTACTTACACTTATTTTTCCACTATTCTATTTATTTCATTGTGTGGAGGTTCCACAGTTTGTATAACCGTTCTTGATAGATTTTGGGGTGGTTTCCAGTTGGGGCTCTTACTCTCCTTGTTTTTTTTAAATTTTTTAAAAATACCAGCATTGCCATGGCCAGTTTTGGCTCAGCAGTTAAGAGTGTCGGCCACAGACCAAAGTTGTCTCAGAGTCCGATTCCCAGTCAAGGGCACATACCTGGGTTGCAGGTTCAATTCCTGGCCCTTATTAGGGTTGTGGGAGAGGTAGCCAATGGCCACATCTATGTTTCTCTCTCTCTCTCTCTCTCTCTCCCTCCCTCTCTCCCTCTCTCCCTCTCTCGCCTTTCCCTCCCTCTCTCTCCCTCCCTCCCTCCCTCTCTCCCTCCCTCCCTCCCTCCCTCTCCCTCCCTCTCTCCCTCCCCCTCTCTTCCACTCTGCCTGAAAATCAATGGAAAAATATCCTCAGGTGAGGAGTAACAAAAAATAAAATACCAGTGTTTTCCCTTTGTTATATGCTGAATGCTCACAAAGAACTTTGATACAGTGCTGCATATTTTATAATAAGAAAAATCACCCACAATGTCACCCTAACACATCAGCTTTTAAAAATTGTTTTTCGAAACATTTCTTTCTGGTTCATCATAAATGCTCTGTCTAATTAGGAACAAATTATACATATAACTAACCAAAGTGTTTTTTCCTGCATATTTATCAGGCAAATCACAAAAGAAACAAGCTTATTTCATTTTATTTAAATCTTTCAAAACATAGCTTTCATACCCTTTCTGTGGCCACTGCACTACATAATATAATTGATGTTTATGTGATTACAAGGCCTTTAGGATCCTAAAGTGCTTTCTGAACTACAGCTAGACATTGTTATATCTGTTAGAATTTTAGTATTATCTATGTTATTTTAACTGTTTTCTTCAGTTTCCTAATCTATAAAACGAGGGCAGTTAAGACTTTGTCCATCTGAGTCCCTTCCAACTTTAAAATTTCATATTTAGGATTGTTTGAAAATTAGTTACTTTATATATGGCATATAATAAAAATTTCACCCAAATATAAAGTATCTAAATACCTGATTGCTCAGAAGTGCTGAGGCAACATCTCCAAGTAAATAGTAACAACAAAACAAGGGTTACATTTACATATTCCAGTAATATTAACTTCTTGCTTGGTGTTTTATATTTGATAAACCCACTATACTTAGAAGTTAACCACAAAATGTATGATGCTCTCTACTCTTAAACAGGTCACAGTTTGAAATGAAAAGTATTTGTCTAAGTAATGTATTTGTTTCCAATTAACTAGATTGCTCTTAAACTTGGTGTGACTTCTGATGATGTAAAGAATGTCATTATCTGGGGAAACCATTCCTCAACTCAGTATCCAGATGTCAACCATGCCAAGGTGAAACTGCAGGGGAAGGAAGTTGGTGTTTATGAAGCTCTGAAAAATGACAGCTGGCTCAAGGGAGATTTCATCACAGTAAGAAAAATCTGGGTGCTCGCTTAACAGACAAGCATAAAGAACTCTCGAGAGAGACCCACATTACTGACCTGAATATTCTGCAGGGGTAAGGGGAAGGAGGGACACAAGGAGAACAAGTCCTACTTTATTATGGGATCCTACTAAGCCAGTCATGGTCCAATCTGTTCTGATCTGTTGCGTGGTAGTCAAGATAGATTGTTAAAGTGGAAAAAAACTAGAAAAAATGGGAAAATCTAGTCATCTTATACAGAGATCCATTTTTATGTGAAGTATGGTAAACTTTCTGTGGAGATTTGTAGTTTTTCCTAAAAAGACTGGTGCTTATAACAAATGGGTCAGTAAGGCCAAAATTGGGTAAATTGCCTGATTTTGGAGGGGACATATTGAGCTATGGTTGCAGCCTTTCGCCCTCAGATCAGTTTGGAATTAATGAAAACTCTGCTGTCATGATCAAGTCACACTGCTGTCTCTGCCTACCCCCACCCAGACTGTGCAGCAGCGTGGCGCTGCTGTCATCAAGGCTCGGAAACTGTCCAGTGCAATGTCTGCTGCAAAAGCCATCTGTGACCACGTCAGAGACATCTGGTTTGGAACCCCAGAGGTAAGGACTCGGTGATTTGCACAAGCCTCTCTTTTACTTTTGTCTTTGGATGCTGTGATGTGAAAAGAATATAACCTTAGCAGTCAGGCAGGTTAAGTTCATATCCTGACTCAGCTGCCCACTAGCTGAGTAAACTTGGGAAGTTACCTAACCTTTCTGACCTGTCTTGTCATCTTTTATATGGGTTGTGAGGGTTAAATGAGATGATATATATAGAAAACACCTATCACACATGGTAGAGGTGACATTTTTTCATCCTAAAGCCTATATTGGCCCATAGTTTCATCATTTACAAAGTGAGGATTTTGTATCTCGGTCCTACTTCACACATGGATTGGAAGAGTGGAATGAGATAATGCCCACGAAAGTTACCCTGTCACAGAAGTGCCTGGTGATGGTTCCTTACTGTGGGTGATGGTTCCTTACACAGTAATGAAGTTATGCACATAAGTAAGAACGTGTCACCTATTTAATTTTTGTTAGTTCACATGTGTTGGTTATATAAACTAATTCCTAAGCACTATGAGAATGTAAAGATTACTGTTTTCAGGGAGAGTTCGTGTCCATGGGCATTATCTCTGATGGCAACTCCTACGGTGTTCCCGATGATCTGATCTACTCATTCCCTGTTACAATCAAGGTAAGGTATTTTGGGGTTATTTCCCTCTGTCCCCTACTTGGAAAGTAGTTGTATATTTTTATTAATAATGGCATAATTTAGTCTAGAAAGTAGTTTCTAGACTAAATTAGACATTTTTCTCAGCTTTAAAATTGTGTGGAGCACAACTTCAAGTCAATAAAAGATTGAAATTAATCTGGAAAGAGAGATTCAACTCTTCTCACTAGACATATTTTGTTATTGTGCCTCTAATATTGGATACCTACAAATGGTATCTTTTAAATGAAGCAATAGTTCTCAGTATTGTACTCTTTATTATACTTAAAGTCAGTAGTTTTTTTGTTTGCTAATTAATCCTCATTTAAACATTTTCTTCCTAGAGAAAGGAGGCTTTAAATTCAAGTGTTGAGTTTGTATCAAAACTATCTATTAATTAAGATCTGGGTTTTGATTTGCTTCTTTAGAATTAGAGTGTTAAACAGTCCCTAGATTGAAGTTCAAACTAAGTTGTTGCTTGCTGGAGGATCAGTTCTAGTTTAATTATAAATCTCTTATTTGCAATTATTTTCAAACAGAATAAGACATGGAAAATTGTTGAAGGTCTCCCTATTAATGATTTCTCACGTGAGAAGATGGATCTTACTGCAAAGGAACTCAAAGAAGAAAAAGAAACTGCCTTTGAATTTCTTTCCTCTGTCTGACTAGACAATCATTTCAATGTTACTAAATACCCCAATGCTGAAGGATCTAAATGTCGTCTTTGACTCTAGTACCAAGTAATAATAATGCTATACTTAAATCACTTGTGAAAAACAACACATTTTGAAGATTATGTGCTTCTCGGTACAAATTTGTGACAGTTTATCATCATGTTATTAGTGTTGCATTCTAAATAAAATATATATTCAGAGGCAGACGACTCAGACTCTAATTTTTAGCTAATATTTTGTTTCTATTCAGAAAACAAACTTGCGTGTTTCCCAGCTTGCTGAAGGGGTTGTGATTTTTTTTTAAAACCAGAGAAAGGCAATGAGATGGAAAATGTCACAGGGCAAGGCCTAATTCTCTTTAAATAGAATAGGAAGATCCACCTTTGATATGAATCAATCTACTCCGGGATATATTTTTAAACATTACCTTTATTAGGTAATTAAACACCTATCATATTTTTTTAATTAGTTCAATTTTTAATTCGTTCAAAACTTAGTTTAATTTTTTTTAAATTAGTTCATGCTTTTGTGAATAATTTGATTTTAACATTAGCTGTTGAATAGGTTGCAGATAATACTCTATTTACAGTTTAATGCCATTGAATGAAATTAGTACATTTTCATGATAGAAGAAAAAGGTATGAGTCTTCTCTTGAGGTATTCCTTTAAAGCAGATAAGGAATCATTTACATTTCATAACCAGTAAATGCCACAGGAATTTTTGCTAGTAGGACTATTCGTAATCAAAGCTTATTACTAGAAACAGTGCCGTTAAAAATAAAAACAACTTGTCTTTTTTCCCTCCAAATCCATGAGGACAGGGGTTATCCATCCTTTCATGTAGAAAAAAAATGAGTGAAAAGTGATTTTATAACTAGATGAATTAAAAATAAAAATTTAAAACAACTGAATCTACAAACAAGCAGAGAGGAACTCATAGATACAGAAAACTTTTTGTTGGTTGCAGGTTCGGGGGTTGGGTGAAAAAGGTGAAGGGATTTAAGTTAAAATTGGTTGTTACAGAATAGTCATGAGGTAGAAAGGGTCAAGGAGGGGGAAAAGGGAGATATCTGTAATACTTTCAATAAGAAATTTTAAAAAATAAAATTTCATGTAGAATTAATTTAAATGTTTTTATATAAAGGAAGTTGTCCTGGTCAGTTTTGTTCAGTGGTTAGAGCGTCGGCCCTCAGACCGAAGGGTTCTGGGTTCGATTCCCGGTCAAGGGCTCATGCCTGGGTTGCAGGTTTGATCCCCAGCGGGAGGCAACCGGTTGATGTGTCTCTCACATCACTGTTTCTCTTTCCCTGCCTCCCTTCCACTCTCTAAAAATCAATGGAAAAATATTCTTGGGTGAGGGTTGAAAAACAAAAAATACATATAAAGGAAGTTTGAATATGTACCAGTTATTATTATTCTCTCTTAGTTCAAAATGCACTCTTCTATACTCTGCTTATGACACTGGGACTGGGACTCAGCAAACATTTCTTTACCAGCTCCTCCCTGCTCCATGTTAAGTCTGCCAATGAAGGATGCTAGAGGGAGACTAGAAGGCTGAGTAAGAACAAGCTCTTGGCTCCTTTCCATTGGCTTCCTCTGTCATAACCTTCTTTTCACTTTTTATATAAACCAAAAAGGAAGAAATTAGTTAAACATATCTTCAGAAGAGCAATTAATTGGAAACATAAAGACAAGGTAATTTCATGTAGCATTGAAAAAATGTTACATGAAGGAAGTATATATATATAAAAGTTGTAAGAATTGGGAGGTACAACCGGAAAATACAATATAAGCTAAGTTAAATTAACTCCAATGTGTTCATCTCTATTTTATCATCCATTCATGTAAAATGGCCTATTAATTTCATTCTGTAAATTAACCTCACCAGTCCTTCAAAATCAGGAATCATATAAGCAAATGAAATGGTAGTACACTTTGGAGAGACCTGGTGGATTACTTAGAGAAACAAGTAATTCCTCACCAGCTGTGCTTTTGAAGCACAGCTTTGTGTTTTCACATTGTAAAATTTGTTACCTCTTTACGCCATTTACTTCTGTCACCCTAACTAAGAGAACAATGCGTTTTGTTGCCTCCTCTCTTAATGAACAGTCCAGGCCCAGGAAATCCTGCCCTTTATCTTCAGATAGAGTGGGAGGGAAAGAAAGAGAGAGAAACATCAATGTGAGAGAGACACATCAAGTGGTTGTCTCCCCCACAACCCCAACCAGAGCCGGGGACAAAGTGCAATAGGTATGTGCCCTTAGCAGGAACCGAATCCAGGACTCTTTGGTCTGCGGGCGGACGCTCTAACCTCTGAGCCAAACCCGCCAGGGCAGTTGGATTGTTTTACATTGAAGTAACTACATGCATGTCAAAATCAGTGAGATTGTGTTACATGAAAACTAAAAACCCTTCTCCCAAGGATAAGCACGTTTAAAACTTTTTAATCCTTCCAGGAAGAAAAAACATACATATAACCCTGGCTGGTTTGGCTCAGCGGTTAGAGTGTTGGCCTGCAGACCAGAGAGTCCTGGGTTCAGTTTCCTCTAAGGGCACATGCCTTGGTTGCAATTAGTCCCTGGCCCTGTTTGGGATCATGTGGGTGGCAACCACTCAGTGTGTCTCTCTCACACTGATGTTTCTCTCTCTACCTCCCCTCTGCTATATCTGAAGATAAATGCAAAAATGTCCTCAAATGAGGATTAAAAAAAAAAAAACATACATATAAACATATTTTGAGGTTTTTTAAAGTGAGGGGATATACAGTGAAATTTCCTTTACTCACCTAAACCCCACCCACTTACACCCCGTTTTAGTCTCCTTTTCTATAGTACAGAAATATTCAGTGTGCAACCCAAGTATGTATGTAAGTATGTGAGTGCGTGTGTGTAATCTTCCCCTTTTTGTACATAAATTATACTAAATACACTGTTCTGCACTTTGCTTTTTCCCCCCTCAATATATATTAGAACTGCCTCATTCAAGTGAACAGCTGTGTAATATTCCATTGAATAGATATACCATATTTATGTAGCCATTCACCTGTTAATGGACTTTTAGGTTCTTTACAATTTTTACTGCTGTAAAGATGCTTATATCTGTAAGTAGGTTATTTCACACAGCTTAAGTGTATATGTGGGGTACATTTTTTTAAAGTAAATTTTTTTTTATCACTGTTGAATTGGATTTGTTTTCAAATAATCAGCATTCTGAATCCTGTAGTAGTATATTTAAAACCATTTTAATACGTTTTTTTTTTTTACACCACCTTGATAAAACCCACCACAATATTTCTCAAGAAATGTTGACCAGGGACAAAGTCTATTAGAAGGTAACTTTTTAGTATATAAACTTAAGAATTTGGCTATAAAAAACAAAAAGCAACAGCCCAGCCAGTATGGCTTAATGGATTGAACATCGTCCCATAGACTGAGAGGTCCCAGTTCAATTCCCAGTCAGGTCACATGCCCGGGTTGCAGGCTTGATGCCCAGTAGGGGGTTTGCAGGAGGCAACCAATCTATGTTTCTCTCTCGTTGATGTTTCTATCTCTCCCTCTCTCTCTAAAAATATCAATAAAAACATTTTTTTTAAAGCAACATAAGTAGGTTCTTAGTTGTCCCTTTGAAATAAGAATAAGAACTTACAATCTTTATAAATAAGATATTTATGGCTTTAAGCAACCTTAATGAAACAAGAAATGTATCCATGCTTTGGTTTCTGAATATCCATTGGTTCTGATACAACAGGAGTGTACAGGCTTTAAAATATTTTCCCATTAATTGGTATCACCCAGCACAGTTTCTTATAAGATAGTGAGTGTTGAACAAACATTTACTGAATGAATGACTTCTTGCCCATTGCCCTCTAACTCAGGTAGGAATGTAGTTGTGACCTGCAGTTGAATCAAACAGGTAGTCTGGCCTGGGTAACACAATTGAGTTTCAAGCAGAACAGATGTGTTTAATTGTGCAGTTTCTTCATATCCCCACCACCAATGCTCTGGTCCAGGCTCCCATCATTGCTTCAAAAAGACTATTGCAATAGAGATGGGAATGAGCTCTGTTTGGAATCTACTCTTTCCCTCTCTCCCTAGTCCAATCCAGACTTTGCATCAGAATGATTGGTTAAGGACGATATTTTACTTCCCATTTTCTGAATAACAGACAAACCCATATGCTTGGAAGTCAGACAAACATGGATTTAGATCCCAACTCTTTTTGTAGGTGTCCCTAAACAACCTAAGTTTGATTCTCTTAGCTACAAAATGAGGATAATAGTGTCTCCTTCATAAGGTTTTTGTGAGGATTAAATGGAAAGCACATTATAGGAGCTAGATGTATTTGTTGGGTTTTTTTCTTTCTTTAATTTCCTAGCATCACTTCAATGCCTATCATAATCTGGCCCCAAGTGACACTACCCAGCCCCATCTTTAACTGTCATTCCAGGCCCCAGTGCACCTTCACTCTAGCCACATTAAACTGCCTGGATACCTATTAACTTTCATGGTTACAGAACTTTATTTTGCTGTTTTCTGTTCTTGGATTGCTCTCTGTTTCTCCAGAGTGCATTACAAATAGATAGTCGATGTGTGCTTATCAATTAAGAGGGGAAATTCCAAGAACCTCTGTCCCACTGTCTTAAAATAAGTTCTCCAGAAGTAGACCATAAAATGAGGTTTCAAGAATTTGAGTGCATATGACTTATTAAGGCAATGTTCCCAGGGGAAATTTCTAAGGAAGAGGTAAGACAGAGGCAGAGAAGAGGAGGACACCGCACAGTGGTGCGTCCAGCCAGCATAGCCCCAGCCTGATCAAGTCAGGGACTCCTGCCCTGAGGTGAGGAGGCTGGGGCTTTCATTCGCCCCAACATTTCAGTCATGGATTAGGAAAAGGGTGGGGTGGTAATTTCCAGACATCTCCCAGTCTCTGCGCTGCCAGCAAAGCAGCTTCTAGCAGTCCAGGCTCAGTCCTCCAGAAAACAACCTGAGGTTCTGACTTTGGGAAGCAAAAGAAAGTTTAAGGGGGTTGGTGTGTGGGTGCTAACAGGGATCTGGGCAGAGCACCCTTATTCATGCTACTCACCCACTCAGCCATACTGAGTTAGTTCTAATAAAGCCTAGAGGAGCATTATTTTATACTCAAAGGGAGAGGGCATTAAACCTGGGTCTGCACATGATTTATATCTGCATGATTTTCCA